CAAATCCTTGGGGCCTCCTAAAGGGTCTTGGAAGGCTCCGGGCAATCTCCTGGAGTTTGTCGCGTGCCCCCCGGGTTCCCCCGCATCTTATCGCGTGACATCTTCGGGCCCAAAAAGGCCTCAAGACGGGCCCAGAGGGCCCCAGGAAACATCAAAGACGGCCCAAGAGGGCCCAGAGACGTCCAAAGATCGCCAGGCCAAACTTGGCTTTCTGAAAAACCAAGAGGCTTCCAAAACGCCCCAGGGCATTCAACAAGCTTCCGAAGACGGGCCCGGCATTCTCGCGTTTTGGGCTTCCCGACGCTCCAAGACGGCCCAAGAGACTCCCCAGACCATCCGAACACAGTCCAACAAGCCTCCCAATGGCAGAGCCGCCCAAGAGGGCCCAAGAGGACCCAAGAGGGCCTCAAGCCGGCCCCAACAAAGCCCCAAGAGGCTCTGGGAGGCCCCCACGAGGTCCATAAGAGGCCCCAACAGGCCCCCAAACGGCCCGAAAGAGGCCTCTAAACTGCCTCCACGAGGTACCCGAGAGGCCCCCCACCATATCCCAACGAACAACCCATAGGCTTCACACTCAAAAGCCAGGCACGGTGGCGAGATGGGCTGGAAGCAAAGAGATAGTACAAGTAGTAGAAGTAGTAGTAGTAGTAGTAGTAGTAGAACTAGTAGTAGTAGTAGTAGTAGTAGTAGTAGCAGTAGTAGTAGTAGTAGTAGTAGTAGTAGTAGCAGTAGTAGTAGTAGTAGTAGTACTAGTAGTAGTAGTCGTAGTCGTAGTCGTAGTCGTGGTCGTAGTAGTGGTAGCAGTAGTAGTAGTAGTAGTAGTAGTAGTAGTAGTAGTAAAAGTAGTAGTAGTAGTAGTACTACTACTACTAGTAGTCGTCGTCGTCGCAATCGTACTCGTAGTCGTCACCAAACTAGTACAAAAAGTAGTAGTTGTACTAGTAATAGAACGAGTGGTGCTAGTAAAAGTAGTAGTAGTAGTAGCCGTAGTAGTCATACAATGCGTAATAATAGTAGCCGTAGTAGTAATAGTCGTAGTCGTAGAAGCAGCAGTAGTCGTAGTAGTAGTTGCAGTAGTGGTACTAATGTGAGTAATAGTAATAGTAGTAGTAGTGGTAGTAGCAGTCGTAGTAGTAGTAGCACTCGTTGTAGCAATAGTAGTAGTAGTAGTAGTACTAGTAGTACTAATAGTAGTAGTAGTAGTAGTAGTCGTTGGAGTAGTAGTAGTCGTAGTAGTAGTAGTAGTAGTAGTAGTAGTAGGAGGAGTAGTAGTATTAGTACTAGTAGTAGTAGTAGTCGTCGTAGTAGTAGTAGTAGTAGTAGTAGTAGTAGTAGTAGTGGTGGTAGTCGTCGTCATAGTTGTAGCAGTAGTAGTAGTAGTAGTAGTCGTAGTAGGTAGCAGTCGTGGTAGTGGTAGTAGTACTGATAGTAGCAGTCGTCATCCTAGTATTAGTATTAGTAGCCACGGGCGCCGTACGAGTAGTATAGAAAAATAGTAACACTAGGAATCGTCATAGAAATACGAATATCAGTAGTCGTAGTAGTCGTAGCGATGGAAGTAGTAGTAGGACCACAACTACCAGGAGTAGCACTAGAAGTAGTAGTCGTCGTAGTGGTAGTACTAGTAGTAGGAGTAGCAGAAGTAGTAGACGCAGTCGTAGCGGTACTAGTAGAAGTAGTAGTAGTAGTAGTAGTAATAGTAGTAGTAGTAGTCGTCGTCGTAGTAGTAGTAGTAGTGATAATAATAGCCGTAGTACTAGTAGTCGTAGTCGTAGTCGTAGAAGTGCCAGCAGCAGTGGTAGTAGTAGTGGTGGTAGTAGAAGTAGTAGTGGTAGTGGTAATAACAATAGTAGAGGTCGTAGTCGTAGTAGTCGCAGTACTAGTAACAATAATCGTATTGGTACTAGTAGTGGTAGTTAGTAGTAGGCGTGGTAGTCGTAGTAGTAGAGGTAGTAGTGGTAGCCGTATGCGGTGGTAGTGGTAGTGGTAGTAGTAGTGGTAATAATAGTAGCAGTGGGAATAGGAATATATTAATAATTGTGGTAGTAGTAGCAGTAGTAAAAGTCGGAGTCGTAGCCGTAGTCCTGATAGTACGAATTGAAAGAATGATAGCTGTAGTAGTCGTGATAGTAGTAGTAGTAGTAGTAGTAGTAGTAGTCGTAGTAGTAGTAGTAGTAGTAGTAGTAGTACTGGTAGTAGTAGTAGTAGTAGTAGTAGTGGTAGTAGTAGCAATAGTAGTGGTAGTAGCATTATCAGTTCTAGTAGTGGTACTAGTAGTCGTAGTAGCAGTAGTAGTAGTAGTGGTAATAGTAGTTATAGTCATAGTTGTCGTCGTGTGTTTGGCAAGAGTAATAATAGTAGTAACATTAGTAGTAGTAGCAGTAGTAGTAGTTGTAGTAGTAGTAATAGTATTAGTAATGATAATAAAGGTCGTAATAGTGGGAGTAGTAGTAGTACAAAAAGTAGTCGTAGTAGTAATGGTAGTAGTAGTAGTAGTAGTAGTAGTAGTAGTCCTAGTCGTAGTAGCAGTAGTCGTAGCAGTAGTAGTCGTAGTAGTAGTAGTAGTAGTAGTAGTAGTAGTAGTAGTAGTAGTAGTAGTAGTAGTAGTAGTAGTAGTAGTAGTAGTAGTAGTAGTAGTAGTGGCGGTCGAAGTAGGAGTGTTTGTAGTACTCGTAGTCGTGGGAGTGGTACTGGCGGTGGCGTAGGAGGTGTAGTCGTCGCCGTGGTTAGACAAGGACAAGCGAAAACACCATTTTCCTGAGCCTGTGGGCACCACAGTAGCTCGTGAGCGCCACAGCATGTTCATGAGCACCATGGCGTGCCTGTCAGCACCACAGCTTGCCTGTGAACACCGCACAATATCTGTGGACGGCGGGCCACCCACCGCACGTTCATCAGAAGCACCTGAGGCGGGAGAAGGGCCCCTCCAGGAAGTTTCGGCTCCACGGACAAAGAATTGGAATGCGCACTTCGAGCGATGTTGAAACGACTGGGAGCAAGAACTCAGAGAGCCAACGTCCATATCACTGACCCGTGGGCGTTGATGACGGGCCGACGACGAATACACAAAGTCGACATCCATCAGCCACAGGGCATACCCGAGCCAAATCGGTTGGGATGGAAGAGAAATGGAGAACTAGACAAAATATACCTGTTCGGGAACTATTCGCCATGTCCGGAACATTGCGGTCCCGTCTTGGCGCCGCCATTGCCCCTTCCAGCGATGGCTGAAATGGGCGGGCGGTGAACGCATGAGCTCTTCCTGTGCGCTTCGAGCGACGACGACATGACATTCACTCCAAGGGATACGGCTCGCCCCGAGCGCACATCGCGTTGCAAACTCTGCCGGTAGGAAGATCAATCCGAGACGCGCTCATGTCTTAGCATATCCCAAAACCATATCCCAAAAACCATATGACACACACACACACTCAACAACAGCTACCCTATCCGTACTCTTCAGGCTTCTAAAAGCAGCAACCACCATGCCGCTTCTACCAGCTACAAGGATCGATTGCGCTCCCCCTTAGAATTCATTATGCTGTGTAACGTTTCGCGTCGAATGATAGTACGAACGTGGATTCAGAGCAAGCAGGATGCTCACCATGAGAGCCAATGGGGCCATCAAATGTCCAGCGGGCGTGTGCCGCAGTTAAGAGAAAGTTGAATTGACTGGCGCGAGGGAAATGTTGGACGCAAAAGCGCTTGGCAACATCAATGGCGCGGGATGTGTTTAACCTGCCCCTCCTAATCACCCCTCCTCCGTACCCCCCTCATTTTCATCCTCTTTTATCACCGTTCCTCTTGCATCCGTCGAAATAATCATTTCCCGTCGCTCTCCACCCTGCTGCTGCTCCGCCCCATCCCTTGTCCTTCATAATTGGCTCCTCCCTGTCGCGCCCTAAGGCGTGTCAGTAGGGCGGGCCAGACATATCGTCTGAGACTTCCTCACCGTTCACGATCCTGGAACTTAGCACAACTGCAGCATATTCACGAACGGGGGGCGGGTGGTTTTCAAAATGTGGCTCTCGCTTTCGCGCCGCGTGCATTCGTCTTAAACATTTGCAAGAGCTTGGCGGATGGAGGGCGGGTCCTTTTTTCCCCTGGCGCCGCGCAAATTCGTTTTAACGATTTTCAAGGGTTTCACAGGTGGAGGGCGGGTGCTTTGCAAAATCGAATTCTCGCCTGAATGCCGCACACATGTGTCTCACAACTTTGTCACGGCGTCAAAATTCTTATGGCTGGCGCCCCAGAAACTGTGTTCCGCTACGGTTTACGACTGCCAGGGCGCAGCATTCATATAGATTCGCTGTGTTGGAAGCCCGACAGGGGTGTTCTGACACGATTAAGGGTTGTTAGGACGCAGCACTAGCGTTGACTCGCGGCGTCGTCGTTACAATAATGGTGTTGTGGCACGCTTGAGGATTCTCAGGTTGTTGTCTTCCAAGTGGGCACTTCCTACAGTGAAAGAAAACCCTTGTAGTGACCTGCGAAGAGGGAATTTGGAAGGATAGTTCATTGAAACATCGTTGATACGTCTTGGGTTTAAAGTGGCCATTTTTCTCTGTGTCTCTTCTGTCCCTCTTGCTCACCATCACCGTCAGCATCGCCGTCAGCATCGCCGTGACCATCAGCAGATCAATCATCACAAACACTACATTCATCATCATCAGCATCATCGCCATCATCATCATCATCATCATCATCAGCATCATCATCATCATCATCAGCAGCAGCATCAGCATCATCGCCATCATCATCAGCAGCAGCAGCATCATCAGCATGAGCATCATCATTACCATTACGATCACAACCATCCCTGGCACATGTTCCATGTTCCCCCTCTACCCTTCCCACTCCTCCGCACGTGACCATTTCGGACAGGGGAGATACTTACCCGACGCTCGGCCAACCAAACAAACAAGAAACAGGCCAACGCATTACGACGACGGCAAACTCTTCTCCCCCCTCTCGGTGGAAGAAGGCAAAACGGAAGCCACTTATTGAACCCTTCGTCGCAGTCGAACGGCAGGCTCGTGGTCGACGTGGCGCACCCGACGCCCTGCTTCGCGCAGCACCTGGGAAGCCAACGAACTGGTCCTCCTCCACGCTCCTCCACGTATACTCCCCTCTCTCCCCCAACCCTCCCCCCCTCCCTCGCCCCCCCTCCTCCGTCCACTCCTCCTCCAACCCCCATCCCTCTCAGTCATCGTCCTCTTCCGCCTCGACCTCGTTCTCCTTCGCGCCCCTCCTTTCGGTCCTCGTTTTGGGTTGCTCCCTGGAGGAAGGAAGAGACGGAAGAGGCGGAGGGGACCGGGGGAGGAACGTGGAGGAGGAGCGAGGGGGGAAAGGGCGGAAGGAGGGGGGGGTAAGAAAGAGGAGTGGGGAAGGAGGAGAGGGACGAGGCAGGATGCGGCAGCGGAGGCACAGGAAGACTGGGAAGGGAACAAAAAGAATGCAGAGGGGGGAGGACGGCGCCGGGGGACAGGGCGGAGGTGCTGCGAGGACAATGCGGGATAAGGGGGGGCGGGGGGTAAAGCGGGGGCGGGGGCGAAGGGAAATGAGAGAGGGGGCGTGGACAAGCCAGGTGCGCTCCGGTCACATCTGACTGTTTATCCCTCCTTCCCATCCACCCTCATCGCGCTGATGTTTATTCTATCCGCGGACGCGTGTCAAAGCCGACATGGGTCTCCAACAGCATGATCCCATCACAATTCTCGCAATCGGCACAAGGGAGACTGCGTACACAGATGGGGGGGTGGATGATGCGCTGGAGGATTACCAGGACGAAACACAAAAAAAAATGTGGAAGGAGGATGACGACGACGAACAGCAACAGCAGGAACTGGGGCGGAAGGAGCGGAGGCGCAGGATGACCTGGGGAAGGCGGCGGAAAGGAAATGAGGTGGACGACAAACATGAACCAGGACCCGATCCAGAAACATGGGCCACTCTTGGGCGAGAGCGCTTTTCTGAACGACGGGAGCAATGCGTCGATCTGAAAACAAAGAAAAAAAACGGAAAACACAAAAAAAAACTGCAACAAACCACCAAAAACCATTGGATTGTACAGAAGCTGCCAGAAAGACCACATTTGTCCAATTCTGCACGTAAGAAGCCAGAATAGGAGAGAACCGTCTGTCGGGGTCCTCGGAGAGAGGGTATTCGCATTCACGTGTAATTGTAAAAGGTAGGGGGGCGACGGAAGGGAGAAAGAGAGAAGAGAACGAGAGACAAAAGGAATAAGACAGATGAGGCGGAAAAGGGAGAAGAGGGGAAACAGGAAAGGAGAAAAAACATGCTTACCTGAATTGGGGCGCGTACGGTCGCGAGTGATTCATGGGGGCGCGGACAGCGCGGCCGCATCTCTAGCCTCGCAGCGCGCCAATGCAGCTTTCTCCGATGAGATTTACAAATTGCCCGAATTTTCTCGGCCACTAATCTCCGATCCCCGCGATCCCGCGTTCACGGCCGCCCGCCATGCTACGAACATGTTCCCAACCACTGCTGGCAGCATTAGGTGACGCTGGCGTCGCCTCGCACATTCTGGTGCCGCGGGGCGCGACAAGGGTTGTCTGCTCCCCCCCCCGCTCCGTCGACGGTGGCAACGCCTTCGCCCCCCGCTCGATGCCACACCAATCTCGCGAGAGATCACCCCGCGCGCGGCCCACGTGGCCCTTGGCCTGCTGCCGATTGCGTCCCGCAGCGGCTGGTCACGAACGGGGCAGCGTCCCATGCCAACTTCGCCCGCACGCATCCGCCGCGCCGTGACAGCTCGCCTTCAGGCTCGCGCTCTCGCCGCCCACGAGTGCCCGCGCACGTGGACCTCCGCGCCCGCCCCCGCACCTCCTTGCAGCGCGCCATAGACTCACCGGGCCTCGCGGCCACCGTCGGGCTCGGTTGCGCCGACCACTGCTTTCCGCATGCGGCGGCGATCGTTCCTGATCGGGCTCTGCGACACCTTCCACGCCTCGCGCGCGCCCTTTTGCTCTCACACGTTTTCCCCGCGCGCCTTGAACGTTTCCTCTTGGGGTGGATGCTGCCTGTCCGTGTCGCGCGCACCAAACAAACACTTTCTCTGGCGGGTTGAAACGGCCCGTTTTGTTGCGGCCTCATCCTTTTGACGCTGTCACTGCCAGTCCTTTTCACAGGCACAGGCTCCGTCCTCTTGACGCTGCCACTGCGCTCTCAGGTGGGGCTGCCATCGACCGTCTTTCTCGCGCGCGCTGGCCTCTTCCTTTTGCGCCCGCCGCTGCCCCATCGCGTGCGCGGGCCCTCCTGGGTCTCCCAGCGCCCGCTTTCCACTCGCACGCGCAAGTCGCACCCCGTGGAGGTTTCCACCGCCCGTCCTCTTGAGGCTGCCGCTGCCAGTCCGTCTCGCGCGCACAGATCCTGCCTCCCAGTAATTACTGCCTTTCCCCTTCGGAATGCCCCCGACCGTCCTTCCCGCCCGCAGTGACGCCGCCTGATGCTGCCACTACCCGTCCCCCTCACACGCATTGGTTCCGTCCTCTAGAGGCTGTTACTGCCATTGATCTTAGGGCTGCCACTGCCCGTCCGCCCCCGCCCTTCCCCCATGAGCCATGAGCCCGCCACTGCCCGCCTTTCCAGCGCGGACAAGTCCCGCCCCAGTCCTGCCCACTGCCCGTCCGCTTGAATCTGCCATTGCCCATCTTGCTCACGCGCGCAGGCCCGTGCCTTTTGGTGCTGCCACTGCCCCTCCTTGAAACCAGCACATGCTGCCGTTGCCGGTACTTCCCGCGCGCGCACATTCCCCCCCTCTCTCTATCGCTACATATCTCTCTTTCCCTCTCGAAATTGCCAGTGGACTTGCTCCCGAGGCTGACGCTGCCTGGTTTCTCGGGGACGCGGGTGCAATCCTCGCGACGCCGCCACTGCCCATCCTTCGCGACCGTGCAAATACCTTCTTGCTGATGCTGCCACTGCTTTGGCTCTTGAAACTTCCAGCGCCCGAACTTCTCGTACGCGCTGGTCACCTGCTCCTGGGGAAGCGACTGTCCGTCCTCTTAACACGACCCCGCCCCTGCCTTCTGGGCGCGCCGCCTTCCGGGCGGACGTCTCGCGGCCAGCGCCAACCCTTCTCGCGCGCATTGCCCCTAGGGGCCAGAATTCGCTTGCGACCGCCACCTCCAGGCGGGGCCAGGACCCACCCAAGGCCCCCCCCCAGCCACAGGGGCCCTTCACGTCGCCCCACAGGGCCCCATCCACAGGGAATCCTGAGCTCCCCCCCCCTCCCCCTCCCCCACCCCGCCCCGAAAGCGCCTCCCGCGCCCGCCATCACCGCCGACGGGCACATCAAATCCCCTACACACAACACGCACAACACACACACACACACACACACACACACACACACGCACAACACACACACACACACACACATTGTTACACGATCATACATTACCCATGACCCACTCCCGTGCGTGATCGATGTGGACTTGCAGAGGAGGCACCTTTGAATCATCGGGCCACGCGTTTGAACGCGATGCCATCCCTAGACGTCGGGCAGAGCTGTCGGTGGTCTGTCGGTGGTCTGTCAGTTGCCTTTCAGAGTGCTGTCAGTGGTCTGTGGGTGGTTTGTCGGTGGTATGTCAGTGGTCTCGTAGGCCCCGCGAGGACCCACGATTTGCGTGGCCACTCTAACCTCTAACCAGGCAGGGCAATATGTGCGACACGACAACGTCAACCCAGGAAGGGCTGACACGCCCAAACAATTGCGGACGCGATAACTTGCGTCGATCTCCTGGGCAAGAAATGTCACGGGCAACTTTCGGCTTGACGCAAACACTTCTCCTGCTGCGTTGTCGGGGTGCCGCGATCGTCCCACAGGCTGTGACTTCGCCGTCAGCTTCGTTCCAGGGGGCCGTGATCATGCCACGCTTGGTTCAAGGCCAGTCTGGTGGCGCCCGCAGCGCGCCTTTCTCATGGCCGGTTTGGTGGCGCCACTTGGTACCTAATGCGGCGCCCAGGTCTCAAGGCTGGTCTGGTGGCGCTATTCGGCGCTCGCCGCGGCATGTTGTATACTTGCATGGACCCGGTTCCTGTGGATGAGCACGCAGCGCATCTAAGAGGTTATAATGATCTACTCAAGCGCACACTGTACTAGGGACAAGCAAAATACCGACCGCGGACAACAAAAACAACTGGCGGCCGGCGCACAAGTTTCCGCCGAGACCGACTACCAGGCCAGGCTCCAGAGGGAGAGCAACATCAGCCAGTTCAGAGCGAGGCCCACGCGGAAGCCAACGGAAAAGAGAGACTCCAAAACGCAACAACAAATGGCGGCTGCTCCGGGAATCGGCCGGGGACAGATTGACCTTGCGACTTCTTTGCCCTGGCACAATGAGCACAATGATAATCGAACTGAGGTGGGCGCAGACTGCCAATGCGACGCAGGCGCTGGCGGCTCGCGAGGGGCAGGGCCGCCCCCCCCCCAAAAAAAAAGCAAGGAACAGCAGCGGCTGCGCAAAAAGTCGCGCCGAATGAATATGGACAGCGCCTGGGTGGAGTTGCGCGGCCAGCTCTGGCAAAGTAGTGGCGCTCGTGGCGCCAGATCCCACGGGGAGCTGCCGGCGCTCGTCTGCGACTGACGTTCGGAGTACATCGGCGCGGATCTGCGCGCGAACTGCAACGGGCGCGGCGAACGCGTCCACGTTGCGCGCGGGCATCGGGGCCAGGACGCCCACGGGCCCGCGCAGGAAATTTACCGCAGTCAGTGCCTGCAACGACTCGAGGAGCTCCTCTGGGCGGAACGCGCGCAAGGCGAGGTAGCCTCCCACCGTCATTATGTCATGGACCCGTGGGCCCATCGACGACAGCTGGCGCCGTCTCCCGGGGCATCGCGGCTGGAGGGGAACCCGGCCGCGACAGGAGGAGACCGCTGAGATCCCGGCTGGCGCCGAGCACGCCGCCTTGCCAACGATGCCAGATAAGGGGGGCAGGGAGGGACAGGAGGGCTGAGGAGAGGAGCGAGAGGCCCTAGGGAGGATAAGGATGGCAGCGCAAAGGAGCACGAATAAACTAGAAGAAAAGACTAGCGCGCGTCGCCGTCTCAGGC